ATTTCACGAACGTGCAGATTTCAACGAGTATGTCAATCAACGTGCAAAAAGGTAGCAAGCAACGTGGTCTGATCAAACAAATGACTTAACGTGCAAGTTGAGCTACAGATTGAGGTTATCACAAACAGATTTGTACCCGAAAACACAGCAGCGTATGAACAACAAGTAAGGTGCAATCTCGACTAACGATGAGCGAGATTTACACAGATTTCTCAACAATGATGCAGATAACACTCAACAAATCACGAACAGAGCTTGATCAAAACTCGTCCAATCATTTCTCGAACAGGTTTTTCAAAGAATTTCAATGTCCTCGAAACTGTTTTTCCTACATCAAACGGGGCCAAGTCAGCATTAGTGAACATATAAGTTATGTCATACTTACCTTGGTCTTGGCGTGCTTCGAAAATTCCTAGCACTTTCTTTCGAGCCTTTCCCCGTTCGAAAGGTTTATCCTTTGTGAGGTCGTTGTTGTGGTATTGAACCTTTTTCCGTCTGAAAGGTTTATTATCCCTATTCATATCCATGAGTCCGTGATTAGGATTAGGCATTTCATGCGGCCTTTGCGTTGGGAGGATAATCGAGTTTTCTGTCTTTTTCTCCCTGCAAACGTTCTCCTTCTGAGTTTGGAACACCTGTAAATCAAAGACATAATCTAGGGCAGCAAATATGTTAGTGCAGCAAGTGTTCTTCCTGAGATGTTGGTAAAAACATTTCAATTGCAAAACGTCTTTTTCGGACTCAAATCGGACTATGACTTCATTTAGACAAGAATCATAAACAAGAATATAAAGAGGAACGAAATTACCAGGGTCGCCTCCTAGCGAATAGCCTATGAGACTCGTGTGGTTGTTTGGAGCATCGGGTACCATGTAGTCCTCATAACCATTGATCTTGATCATAAATTCTTTGGGTGCTTGTTCCGAGATGTGGAGATTCGGTTATTGGAAGCACTATATAGTCCTTGCAGATTTTCTCCAATATCATCTTGGACTTTTCAAGTACTTTTTCATTCGACATCTCATCCACGTTCTCTTCGGCACCTTGGACAGTCTCGTCCATATCATTCTCCACTTCTTGAATTTCTTCGCCATGTATCATCTCGTTCTTCTCAACCACTACTATGAATGTGTGTTTTGCCTCTTCTACCATAGTCATCTCTCGATGTTCCAGATATTCACTATCGTGATGTCCTTGTTTCCTACGCTCCTGACACGTGGTCGCACAAGTAGAATCAATACACGAACGAATGGATTCGTTACCTTGTAGGATAGTTGTTGATTCCTCGTGTTTGTCTTTATTATCCTTCATCTTGTGCTTGTCTTGGTTTTTGATGACGCTTTCTTTTGTTGGTGTTGCAGCAAGTACATTCACCAATTCCAAAGGCTTCTTGTTGATTTGTCGCTCTACTTGAATCGCTGCATGTACAAGATGTCTCAAGTCACGGTACACTTGTTGTTTTACCTTTCTAGCGATTCGTTTTTGTAGGCCTCCTAGGAAATGCATCATGAGTTCTTCATCGTCGTCAATTCTTAAGTACGCAACGAGCTGCTCAAATTCTCCGTAGTATTCCTCAACCGTTGTGTCTCCCTGCATGATGTTATCAAATCTATGTTGTAATTCACGAAGACAATGTCGGGGTACATACCTTTTCCGCATGAGGATTTTCATCTCTTTCCAAGTGGAAATCGGATCATAATGTGCTCGTCGGTGTTCGATCTCCTTTTGTTCCCACCACATGAGAGCATTCTTCGCAAGATGGGCAGTCGCATATTGGACCTTTCTTTGGTTCGACCAGGAGTAACACTCAAAGATGTCATTCATTTGCCGCTCCCACTCGAGGTAGACTTCCGGGCCTTCTTCTCCCGTAAATAAGGACGACTTAGATTTCCGACCAGCACTTAATTCATGATACGGGCGGTTGTTTGAGGCCCTCGCAGATTCTATGGGTCGGGTCTCCTGCTCAAGTCGTGTGAGACGATCTTGAATCTGTTGTAACATTTGAAGCATAGCGCTTTCACTAGATTCTATATTCGCTCCATCACGTGACTGTTCGTGGTTACTCATGTCACTAAACCTCGCAACACACAATCATGCAGCAACCAACGTGCAAGACAAACACTTAGGCACCCAACCTAACGCCTAACGAACACGAATACGTGCGATCGAAGCGAAACAATGAGCGAGTGATAACAATCAACGGTTCTTGCACACAACACGCGTTAAAACATATTTCACGAACGTGCAGATTCAACGAGTATGTCAATCAACGTGCAAAAAGGCAGCAAGCAACGTGGTATGATCAAACAAATGACTCAAGTTGAGCTACAGATTGAGGTTATCACAAACAGATTTGTACCCGAGACCACAGCAGCGTATGAACAGCAAGTAAGGTGCAATCTCGTGCTAACGATGAGCGAGCTTTACACAGATTTCTCAACAATGATGCAGATAACACTCAACAAATCACGAACATAGCTTGATCAAAACTCGTCCAATCATTTCTCGAACAGGTTTTCAAAGAATTTCAATCAGATTTTCGAAACAGATTTCGCAGCAATCAACGAGGCTCGTCTAACGTGCAATCCTAAGTGAGCAAGTTGCGGACGATTGCGAGGCTACTATTGTGCAGTCCTATTAACGTATAAAGGAACGTTATGTCATGCAGAATGTTCACCAATCATACCAGCACAAACAGAAAGTTTAGACGTGCAACAATCAATTGATACAAACAACATGCACTCCACGCAACAATTAACGTTTTGGTTCCTAAACTGTTCCGAAAGTACTTAGATGTTTTCAATCTGTTTTCTAAGCTCAATTAGGGAATACGAACAGTCTCTCAAACTAACAATTTATCCAGATTCATGCTTGGTACCTCTTGCCAAAAGAACAATTCGGAAACGAACAACAACCACTCAACAATACGATCGGTAATGACACAAATGCAATTTGGATTATGCAATGCACCCGCAACTTTTCAAAGATGCATGATGGCTATTTTCTCCGATGTCATTGAGGATATTATGGAGGTGTTCATGGACGATTTTTCCGTCCATGGACCCTCCTTTGATGCGTGTTTAACCAATCTCCATCGAGTGTTAGACAGGT